TTTATCCATCTTTATGGGGGATTGTCTGCAGTCCAACTATTTGTCTGCAACATATTTCACAGTTTTTGCGGCAATTTAGTCTGTTTACATAAATAATATATTCATATACATAATCTAGATAATGATACTCATACTTCCCTCCATCTTTCACTACACCCCCCTCCCCTTTTCTCTTCTCATTCCTCCCATTTGCATGAACATTTTTGTTGTCGATTTCAGTATTAAAATATTAAAAAATTTTGTTGCATTTTTTTGAATTTTCTGAATCTTTATTCTATAAAGTCTAAAAATGATTGAATTGAAAATAATGAAAGTGTATTGGATCTCTCTCCATTAGGTTTGTAAATTTAAATTAAATTCGAATTCGATTAGATGATTGCAGTAAGCCGCTGCGCGAGTCCAAAACCATCAATAATTTACACAATTTGGGAATTTTCCACAGGGTTTTATCTTTAAAATCGGAATTATTTAAATGTAATTTCTTTGAAATCGTTTAAAATTGATAAATCTTTGACATGTATTATGTTTTTGATTGAAATACCTCAAATACATATTTGTAAATTTTGTAAAGATAAATATATTTTAAGAAAGATGTAAACCCTTTTATACAACCTTAAGCCCTAAATAAATATCAACCAAATATTTATCATTTTCCAGCAGAAATATTTTCTATTTGAGAATAGTTTAATGTTTCCTGGTAAATGTGTTCCACAAATATTTATACATTTTCGCGGATTTCTATATTTTCTCAATTCTCCATGTTTGGTTTGGTTTGGTTTGGTTTGGTTTTATTGGGTTTTAATCAATTATCGTCTAAGGACGGTTTATATCGAGTTCTATTCAACGCTACAGTCTAAAACTAATTGAAAGCAAATACTACGGTTTGTACGCGTATATAGGAATTCAATATGGTCGCTTTCTTTATGGTTTCTTATCTAGGCCTATATTTGGTCAGCCATTACTTTATTTGGCCTCAAGGGGTGTCAAAAAAAAATTACATCGTTTACAAAAACTTTAAAAATCAAAACAACATGAAAAATACTTTATAATAAAAATGAATGAAAAATATGTTATTAATGTTAATTATTTCTGGCCCCCCCTGTATATATTTGAGTATAAGAAGACCTGTAAACTATACAGGACGGAATTAACTAATGTATCTAAAGATTCAACCATTAATTCAACCGACAAAGAAGAAATAAATCTCATTATCTCTCTAGGTTTGATAAACCCATCTCAACTCTCAAGTAAACAATCTCTCTAGGTTTGATAAACCCATCTCAACTCTCAAGTAAACAATCTATCTCGACTGTTCATTTTGACCCCCCCCCCTCCCTCCATTTTGAAATGTTTTACTTACCTCAAACTCTTTAACTTTCCGATTCCTTTATCTTTGAAACCTGATGATGTAAACCTTTGATATTTCCAATGTTGAATATTTTTTTCTAACATATTTCTATAGCTTATTAAAGGTCTATTACATCAGGTTGTAAAAATAAATTGGATCAGAATATGTAGAGAGTAACAAAGATACAAAAGGAATTATTACTAAAAAATAAAGTTGGGGAGGGGGATATCTGTAAGACTGTAATAGACTGAAGGGGAGGGGGGATATCTGTAAGACTGTAATAGACTGAAGGGGAGGGGGGGATATCTGTAAGACTGTAATAGACTGAAGGGGAGGTGGATATCTGTTAGACTGTAATGTAAGACTGAAGGATATATTTATATATTTTATCTTAAATGTTTAATATCGAATACGGATTATAGACCTAAATCTATGTAAAGTAAGTCATGAAACAAAGTTAAGCTAAATCTATTGGAGACGGATTAAAAGAGGGGAGGGATGGAGCATGCAAGTATCGAAAATTGGATTTTAAAATGTAAGGCAATTTTTTCTTAAAAAATTAAGAAGAGAGAGACAATTTTTTTCTATTTATATTATTGGATTTTTAAAAATCTATATCTCTGTATTCTGTATTGTTTATCTATATCTCTATCTGTATTCTGTATTGTCTATCTATCTCTATCTATATCTCTGTATTCCGTATTGTTTATCTATCTATATCTCTGTATTCCGTATTGTTTATCTATCTGTATCTCTGTATTCCGTATTGTTTATCTATCTGTATCTCTGTATCCTGTATTGTTTATCTAGCTATATCTCTGTATTCTGTATTGTTTATTGGTAAGTTAGAAAAGAGTTTTTGTTGAAGACTATAATAAAAGAAAAATGTTTATTCTCGAGAAATCTGACAAAATGTAATATATATTTCTCTAAACCCACTTCTAAGTACTCAAGGGAAATACTAAATATGTCTTCATAAGCGTATTCAGTTTTTATAACAATTGTAAAATTCACTCTTTATTCTTTAAAGAAACATCTTGTTTTTCTTTACTCTTTCATCTCTCTGTATAATTAAACTCGTCCAAACTTTGCCATTTCTTCTCCAACCTTAATCGGTTTTGTGTCGGACGGTTTAGCAGCAAAAATGCTGACAAAGTTTCTCTTCTTAATATTGCTTTGAGAAAGTTTTGCAAGAATTCTAATTAAAAAGTTTTGTTTCAGGTAACACAGAAAGTGTTTGAACAATGTGGAACCCCCAGACTTTCTAGACGTGAAGCTCAATCCTCCCAGTTTGTGTTTGAGAAAAGACTAGAGAAGATACACCGAACTCCGGCCCGTCCTGCCAAATCCGAGTTTGAAATCATGTTAATGGATTTAAAGAAGAATCTGAAGAGTGTTGAGGGTTTCTGGTCCCTGCTCCCCTACCAGATGTGTGACACACAGATGGAGAAACCCTACAGAAATATCCGGGACCGGAGCAGCTGCTGGAATGGGAAGGATGTCGGGAACTACGACGGGAAGGTTCTGGAGGACGGGTTGAAAAACCAGGTGGAGAACCCTGAGGTTCCAGTGTCCCAGGATACAACACAAACAATCCTGGAGGAACAAAAGTTTAAGCTCCAGGGGTTGAGTAATCAGCTGAAGTCAGCCTACAGAGGGTTGGATATAGAGTGGTGGGATGATACAGGAAAAGGAAAAAGTGATACTCAGGACGATGAGGGGAGTGGGGAGCTTAAACAGACTGATCTATATGATGATGAGGACTATGGTGAGCTGCAGGGGAGCGGGGGAGCTCCTACTGTTGATGGGAGCGGAGCTGAACCTGATTATGATGATCATGATGAAGATCTTGTTGTTCCAACCTGGCATAAGGAGAAGAAACCCAAACCGTTTGATCCGTTCCAACCTGGAACCACGGAGGAACCTGACGCTAGTGTTGAAACCAGTTTTACAGCCGGGTCTGGACGAGCATTTACTGGTTCCAAACTGCGAGCGGTTGCCAGTTTTTTGGTTCCAATTTTCACGTGCTATATTGGCAGTGTGTTTACAGATATACCTCATTTCTTAACTTAGAATCTCAACCAAGTATTCTCCTACCCAATCTAATGCTTTCATTCCAAATATGCTAATTCGGAGATCTAAATTCTTAAATCTTGAAATGTGGATTTTAAACAAATCATCTGATGAAATGATCATTAGTTATCTTAAAGTATAGCTCGATACCAAATCCATAAACAAATTTTGTGAAAAGAAATCCTCGGATTTCATGTGAAAAAATCCACGAAACCTCTCCGATCTTCGGCTGTGATTTAAACCGTAGTGTTTCAAGACTGCATTCTCCTGTGATTCTTTCAGAACATAAACCTTTAACAATCCAATATCTAACCGTTATATAGTTAAATGTACTTTAAACGTGAAATGCCCTTCATTCAGAAATATACGAGCCCGTACGTTAATAAAAAGAAAAGCGCGGCATGAATTTAAAAACTGCCATTTTGTTTTTCTCAATGAATGTTTCTGTTAAAATATATGTTAATTGGCTCTGCAAGAGCGTTGTGTATAGCTGTATTAATACATTTATCAACGTTGAATAAATTTATAATTATAGAGACTCAATTGATTTGGTAAGGTTCTTATTGACTCGAAGAAACAATGTTTTATTCACGTTTCCTTTCTTGGATTCCATATTTGGGTAGCTGAGCATAAGCATTAAAGGAACTCGCTACTTAATTTTGAATAATGAATGATTCTAAAAACTGTAATATAATTAGAAAGATATCTTTGTCTTTTTATCTATAAATTGATCATTTTAGTTGAGAGGTCTCTTGATCAATTTCAAAAGGATTTATACAGCAGAGAGACAAAAAAGAAAATTAATAGAATTTTTCTATTTTCAGAATAAAAAATAACAATATTATATTCTCATTACTACTCAGATAAAGGATAGCTTTTTAAATTTTTTCTTTTAAATTATATCAACATCCCCTTTAAGCGGTTAACTATCTTTAAACTTCTTATTAAAAATAATTATACTTGTATCTCTAAAAACTGGTTGAAAACCCCCTATGACAACATGAAAAGGCACGGGAGGGGGGAGAGTTAGATCCTTAGCTTTTTATGGCCACATGTATTTTTTCACTACTGTTCCTGGATTTTGCTATTAATATTTAATTAGAGAATTTTTGGCTTAAAAGTTTCTATTTTCATGACATAATGTTAAAATCGACCGATAGAAAGTTTTAAAGGAACTGTATGCGAAAATTCAAGTGTTTGCAGGTATAAATTAGATATATGTTTACAACTTTAATCCTTGACAAAGAAATTGAGTCTTTGGAACAAAATCAAATATTTAAACCTCAATATCCTTAGAACTCGATATTTCAAACTTGGATTATTTGATCTTACAGAATTCATAGTTTGAAATATCTAAGGTCTGCAACATTTGGTTTCAAAGATAAAGTGATTAGAAAATCAGAGTTTGTTGCAAAGGCTCAATTCCCTTAGTTCCTAATAAATAAAATAATAATATCTATAACATTATTGATGAAACGCTTTCAAGGGGTCCGTCGTGAATTTCCAAAATGTATGAAAGATTGAAATCCTTGTGTTTTTATCCTTTTATTGAAATGTTATGGATAAGGAACAAGAATGTTTTTAAACGATAATATGGAACCAAATAGATTAGCTTTTCTTACACTTGCATGTACAATCAGAACTAGAGGAGCAACGGATTAACAAAGTCTGAACAGAAATGTCATTTGAATTTGACCTTCTCCACCTGAGTCCGCGATTTAAAAACTTCGGCTCGAACCGTAATTCCTCAAACCCGACTTTAAGACCCAACTCTGACTTGTATCACGTGATTGACAACTGCAAGTTCTTCGACTCGACTTAAGGAGTTAGTCCCAATGAAAATAAAACCGACCTTGGTTGGTTTTAGCAGAGAATAAGGCTCAATGTGGAGTCTTGTTCCAGAGGCGGATACAGGATTTAAGTGTGGGGGGGGGGCAAGATTTTTTAGGAACAAAAAATTCATAATTAGGAACAAAAAATCGCGGCGCAGGCGAACATTTTTTTTGACTTAAAAGACTCAAAAAAAGTCAAAATTAATGACTATAAAGAAACTAGATTTTTAACTTTTCACACATTACAGTTTATTATAAGACAGATATTTTTCCTGTTTTGCACTAGGGTTTCTTTCCCTTAAGCATGCTATTGAGAAGCTATTCTGAAAATAGGAACAAAAAATTCCAAATTCAGGGGGGGGAATGTCCCCCCTCCCTGAATCTGTCAGGGGGGAGAATGTCCCCCGCCCCTGTCTTGTTCTCATAAAAACCCTGGATGCGCCAATTCCTACCATGAAAATCTGCCGAAAAGAATGTTACACCGGTTTTTGGAAAATAAGATGCAGCTTGACTCCGAAAGCTCAAGCCGTGAATAGGGATGTTAACGTTTTCATTTTTCAGAAAAACGATCGTTTCGTTGTGATAACGACGACGAAAAACCGAAAACGAAACGATCGTTTTTAAAAACGATCATTTTTTTAAAAAGTTCGTTTTTCAAAAATGGTCGTTTTTAAAACGATCGTTTTTCAAAACGCTCGTTTTTCAAAACGAGCGTTTTTCAAAACGATCGTTTTTCAAAACGATCGTTTTTATAAAATTCGTCGTTTCGTTAACGATCGTTAACGACGACCCTTCGTTAACAAAGAGAGGAAACCTACCTGAGGGCATCTGTACTTATCATTGAGTAGTTTTTTTTAGAAAATATCAAGGAGTTTTAACTCCCCCACAACTGTTAAACTTCATGTAAGACGACATTCAATGAAGTTGCAAGTAATTTTTTTCCAAAAACAACCGTTTTGATAAAGTTCGTCGTTTCTTTAACGATCGTTAACGACAACCCTTCGTTAACGACGACCTTTCGTTAACGATCGTTAACGACGACCCTTCGTTAACGATCGTTTACGACGACCCTTCGTTAACGATCGTTAACATAATTGTCAATAAAAAAAAAATCAGAAACGATCGTTTTTTCATAGACGATCGTTTTTTAAAATACAATCGTATAAAAACGGTCGCAAATCGTTTTAATAAAAACGATCGTTTTCAAAAACGATCGCTATTCGTTTTCTAAAAGTTCAAAACGAGTGGGTCGTTTTTAAAAACGATCGTCTTTTTTCGAAAACGAAACGATCGTTTTTGAAAACGAAACAAAAAACGATCGTTTAACGATCGTTTACAAAAACGATTAACAACCCTAGCCGTGAATAATATAAGGCCCAACGACAGCTTAGACCCGAGTCGTATTTTCCCGAATTTTTTAAATCGTGGGCTCTGGTTAGATTACAGTGTGATCCATCTTTGCACGGAGGTTCACATATATTACCCTTTCAGTATAAGTAATACATATCTGGTTAGATTTCAGTGTGATCCATCTTTGCACGGAGGTTCACATATATTACCCTTTCAGTATAAGTAATACATATCTTTTAGTTACAGATGCAAATCAGAGTATTGTAATTTGTATGTTTAGTTCTAACCCTATCTTATATCAATAACATCAGCAAGAAACGTTGAACATTAAAAAAAACGAAACAAGAAAAGGAAGAAAAAAAGTTTTTTTTTGCCAATTTGCTTTTTTCATCAAAATGTAAATAAATGTTCTTTGCAAAGATATAGGAATTAGAATATTTGAGTTTGTGGCAAAAACTCGATTCCTTTGTTTTTTTCAGATAATTTATTTCAACCAGCTGAAAGGTATTTTATTTTGATCACAAAACATTTCTTTAATTTGAACAAAATTTTATTGAAAAAATCTAAATTATTTTTAAACATTTAACAAACCAAGAAACAAATATACAAAATATAAAATAGAATGAATGGTGAGGGATAGAGTGATAGCGAGGTATAATACTAAAAACTACGCAACCTTTCCTGTACTTCTGCAAAAAAGGGAACTGGTGGGGATCGGAGGGTGAACAATTACAAACCAACACACAGATATGCAAAAGATAGGCATAGAATAAATACGAAAACTCATATATGTCCTACTCCCTTTTTTATTATGTTTGTGAGGGATAGCGAAATAAAGAAGTATATTACAAAATACTACGCAACCTAACATCTGCAAACGGAGGAGGTTGGGGAGAAGGCACTCTACATATAGACTTGTATAAGTATATAGATGTATCTATGCACAAAATAATATAACAAACTAGCTTGGGAACCCGTTGCTGCCAAGGTTACTAAAAGTTACTCCCGCCGTTTACCCGCACTTGAAGGATTTTATTGGGTAAATCGGTCTAGTGGTTCTTGAGCTATGATCGGACAAACAAACAAACAGACAGACAAACAGAGATTAAAAGTTTAATGATCACAGATTTGTATAGAATTTATATTGAGACAAAATTGTTTGATTCTTTACTGAATAAACGTTTTTGTTTGCTAGAGAAAACAGACCCAATATTTATGGAAAAATAGATATAAAAAATAGATATGAAAAATAGATATGAAAAATAGATATGAAAAATAGATATGAAAAATAGTTATAAAAAATAGATATGAAAAATATATATGAAAAATAGATATGAAAAATAGATATGAAAAATAGTTATAAAAAATAGATATGAATATCTGAATTAAAGATATGTAAAAATAATATAATTATTAAATGATTGTTTAATAAATCATACTGAAGTCTAATATTTCATATTGATTAACCTTCCTCCGGAGACTCCCCCCGGCCCCCCCCCTTCCATCCAAGTTTAAACTGTTATTAAATATGTGACCGCGGCAAGTGGAATAGCAGGAGGGTTCCCTGATTGGTGAATATCTGAATATCTATGTTTGAGTTTAGTTTAATTTTACACGCTAGGTGTCGGTAATATCAACTCTATAATTAAATTTTTAACAATAATAGAATATTGTTTGTGTACCTAAAGAAAATATTAAAGTTCTTTAATGTCTGAGATTAAAATAATCGATTAAACTTACTCTATAATTGCTTTATTACTTTTATCCGTGGTTGGTTAAATAGTTGAAAATATAAATTCTACAGTGCTTCTCTGTGGCGGTACTTGCGCTCAGGACTCTGAGTTATACATTTGGCATTTTTATAGACATCTACCTGGCTTTAAATCTAAGATTTACCCTGATAAACTTGGTGAGACTTACTCAAATCATGGTTTCTAAGCATATATGAATTATTCGAAAGTGCTTGCAAGCATAAACAATATTAATACAACTTCTCTTCTATCATGGTTCTGGTCTTTAAGTTCTTCGCTCTTAAGGTTAAGATTTGAAAGGTATAATAGCTCTAGTCTAGGGGGGGGGGCACTGCCCCCTTGTCCCCCCTGAATACGCCCTTGCCAATGGGGGCTGACCCACAGAGAGAAAAAAACAATATTTATATTCTATAAAATATTCCTGAAAACAGCCCTGTCCCCCTAGATCCAAGGACACATTCCTGAAATTTAATCCACCGGCTAGAAATGGTCGGTCTTAAATCCACAAAACCTGTTGTTAAGTAAATAGCAAAGTAATATAAAACATTGAGGGAGGAAATGATACGGTGGTGTAAAAGCAGGGATATACATCACAATTAAGGTTT